CTCGTTCGATTACGTCCACAACTCGTGCGTAAATACCGTACGCCAGCACTTTCCATGAAGTATTCTCTATATCTCAACTCTCTCTAAGACGGACACCTTTGGGAACAGCACTAACTGTCCGTCTTAGAGAGGTGTCCATCTTATAGAGAGTTAAATAAAGGGGGTAAAGAAACGTAGGGACCAACTCTACGTGTCCGTTTTACAGAGGTGTCCGTTAAGAGAGAATCAACTACTGTATTCCAAAGCCCCTTATTCTATATATTCCCAGTTACCTAGAACGTTTTGTTATGACTGTATTTCTTTTCCTTAAAAATTCATCAAAACATAACTCCATTTTCGTCTGCGAATTTGTTCAAACTTTACGAACATCGAGTGGCTATTAAAATTTCAAGCACCCATCAATTATTTTCGAACAAGCCTCCCATTGCTGCAAGTACACCCAAGTACATTAGGTAATGCCGTCGCTACCTTGCTATAACAACTCTGAGGTCAATATAGTACTTATAGTCATAAGACAGACCAGACAGACTGCTTAAAGACAGCTTCGATATGTTCGATAATGGCGACATAGCTATTGCCCAGTCGAGAAATAAAATCGGAAAAATAAACTCGATTGCATTAAAATATACGGCAAAATATTAACATCAAGAAAACAGAAATACTAAAAATAAAGAAACAAATTTACTCCCCTTTGCTCATGTCATAATAGCGTAGCACCATGGGTAAGAAAATATGGTAAACTACCCATCCGAGAAAATTTGGTAATCACGTGAGCATACAACGACCGTCTGTCCGTACCACAGGCATACCAACGTAAAATAACTCAATCAACAGGTATGGCAACCCAAATGCAACTCGAGGTTTTTTTGACGAGAAATCGCATAGCCACCCGCGTCTTGTAAAGCAGAGACAACTAAAGAGTCAATGAAGACGAAAACGGAACGCGGAAATTGTCCCTGTATCCGTGTTTTCTAAAGTATTAAGCTTAGATTAATTGTCACGTCCACGAATTTGGAATATAGAGCAAGAGAAACACAGAGAAAACGAGAAAGTAGGCGGCAGGCCAGCGAAGCTCAACGAGAAAAAGGGACAGAGATCTAGAGCGAGAGATAAAAAAACAAAGGAGACATTTTTTTGTTGGAAGAACAACATGAAAATTTGGACAAAATGAGAACCGCTAGCGGCCACCAATACAAGGTGAAAATGAGAGGCAGTGACATTTCCTCCATAAAACGTGTAACTAAGACGTTTCTGGAAGTTTCACGTTGTAGTCGTGCAAAACAACTGCAAAGAAATGTACAAAAAAAAGTGTGCTGCACGTGCAAAGTTGCTTTTTTGCTAATTAGACCTATTGTTGTTTTTCACCGTTCTCCGGCGTTGCCCTCGCCGCTTAGCATTACACTATTTTATATTTTGTTTGAACAAACTATAAATATTATTGAGAGCTTCGCTTTTAGCCCTGGCTAAATCTATATGTTATTTCTTTTCCATCAAAAACTGACGCGTATCATTAAAAATTTACTTTCTATCAATCTACCTGGGTATTTTACAAGCTTAATACAACGAACCAACCTTAAGGCTTGAAACAAATCTATTTAATTGCAATTTTCATACTGTCTTCATTTTGCTTTTCCCTTTTAAACCCCAAATCATATTTTCACGTCTCAATTTTAATTCCCCCTGCTACAGACAACAATACAACTACAACAACAATAATCTTTATTTTTCGTATTTAAGTTTTACAAAAAGTACACTGGCCCGCAGCTAGCTAGAGCTGATCTTGGCGGGCCAGTAAATTTACGTGTAGGGAATAGTTTTATTATTATGTTTATATTTTTGTCTATATATAATATAATGCGGAAGGATTTAACGTACAAAGAAGAGAAAGGCTGATTCACAGTAGATAAAGGATTTACAGTAAATAAAGTTTATCTGAAAAAGCTGGTATCAGTTCATACTCTCGCTACTAAGGATTTCGCCTTAGAAATGATCTGGTGTATGAACGAATCTGCTTCTTCGAAAATGGTCAGTAGCACAATTTGAATTCCTTTTTTGAATGAAGGTTTCGGTAGATCTCTCAGAGAACATGGTATCTCATTCCAGAGTTTTTCGCCTATTCTTTAAAAACATTTCTGAGTATTTCAAGCCTTCATAATTGTGAAGTCAACGTATGATTCTGATGGATCGTCATGAAATTGCAAAATTTATTTGACATTAGGTGGGTTCACACTGGACTTTTGAAGTGCACTTGAGAATAACTTGCGTGTGAACCGGTCCCGTTTCCCTTAAGGTGGCTCGATACAGTTTTTCAACTGCCTGACTACCAATTTCTAACCTTGAAGAGCTCCCCTAAGACGGAATTTTCTCGAAATATCAATGTTACATGTAAAGTTGCAATAGATTGAAGTTTGCTATGCTGTAGGAGTTTGGAAGATCGGAGCGTCCCTAGCAACGCTACGTTGCCATGGCCAATTTTCGTCATTTTGTGTTTGCAGAGAGTAACGAACTCTTTAAAAAGATCGGTTAAAGGTATGAATACTGCCCATTATGGGCAACACTTTGGCCAAGTTTGATTGATTTCTGTAAGAGCATTTTCGAATAAAGCGCGTCTGTTTTTTCAAGGGTCTGTTTTTGGATTTTTTAGAACATTGAAATCAATCCTTGAAAATAACGACTCAACAAAATGCTTACAATTTTTTCCTCACTACATTAGTAAGGAAGCTGCTTAACCTTTCAAGCCTCCGTATTACAACTTGATCGGTTCGTTTGATCTCTTGTTTTGCTACTTATAGTAAATGCACTATTTTCAGTATTTCTGCAAAAATGAACTAGATCGCTAATTTATGCATTTATTTTCATATCCGTCGATGAATTTTCTTTAAAATTTCTTGAGGGCTCTATTAATTGTTCCCCATAGTACTTTCCCTCAAACTTTGAAGGTTATTGATATACTCTAAGGGTATAAACAATCGACGCCAAAACGGGAAAGTTTGCGCTATCTTTTTTAGAGCCCTTGGTCACTTGTTATTTTGACAATGCGTGTTCCTTGCAAACATTTTCTATTGTCCAGATTTTCATACCACCGTGAATTATAGTGCACCACACGTGAAACTTGCAATGCTTCATTAGCCACCGAACACTGTCCGAATATGATAATAAGGCCTTTTGTTTTTATAATGCATGTCTTGGCTCGAAGCTGACTACTTGTATTTTGATTTATCTGGGCTCACGTTATATCATATGTATTTTTTCAAAAGTAACTTTAATAATTAAACTACACTCAATTTTGATAATCAACATACATTTCCTAATATCGAAATTAATTTAAAACCCTGAGAATCCAAGTCCAACTAAATCTTTTATTCGCGATCAATAATTTCAAACAAAGTTTTAGAATTAAACTTCTGCTCAGGCTTTATTACAAGAAACAGTGTTTTTAATACCTGAGTCTTCCTACCTTTATTCAATTTTAACCAACTATAGTGAACAATCTCTCCCCGTTCTGCGATCCTAATGCCACAGTTTGTGCTACGACTCGGTAATGCATAAAAACGCTCGCTCCCTGCGTTATAACAGGCGGCTATACAGAGGACTGTATTCCTAAATAAAGCGCTTAGGCCCTAGTGGACACGTTACCATTCAAATATTTTCGCATTTTTTAAAACGAATTTTGTGTATTCAAGATACAGGAAATTACTGTACAAAAACTTAAATATTTTCTTTAACATTTCTTTCTTGCCTTTATAACTGTACTGTCTTATGCCCTGATATGATCAAGGGATCGCGCGCGTCCATTTTCATACGTTTGACGCTAGTTTATTAGTACTATCCTGGCTCAATCAGTAATACTCGCGCGTTGAAAACAACAGGAACAACAGTAAAAACAGCTATAACATAATGGCTATGGCTGCCCGCGAATTCTGTCGCTGCCTTATAACGGGTTGAGGTTGCTTTAGAGTACTAGCTGTTGCTTTGTGTACGTTGGAAAACCTATAAAAAATGGAAACAGATGTAATATTCGTGGCATCGGATGCATCAAAACTTGACGAAGGGTAAAGGTAAAAAAAAAAAAAAAGCAAGTCGTTGTTAAGGACCGAGAGAACAATTAGAAGTTTGTTGAGAGGGTGCAAGTATTATTTTGGTGCTAGCGATATAGTGTTTACTTTAACCTAATTGCTTGCCTGTGTGCTATTTTTAATCGTGAAAGTGTAAAAGGATTTTCAAATTTTCAAAACCACTTTTTATCAAGCACTCGCGATCGCTTTGTTCGAATTTTGGGTTTTGTGTTTGTATAAGTTGATGCCTCCTTTGCCTCCTTCAAATTCGAATGCTCCACCTACTTAGCAGTCTACTAAGCTAACTTTTAGTTTTCCTATCAAAAAATGAATGATTTCAGTGAGAAATCTCAAGTTCTTGCTCACTCTTGGTTTGGCCGACCTAGCATGAGGGTCATCAAAATTTACTGGTGGCGCTAGCACACATAATAGCCCTCTTGAGCCTCCTGCTTGGTAGATACCCTCCAGAATGTTCATTTTCAGTCCAGCCTTTGCCAACTTGTCTTTCATGCCATCCGAGACCTTTAGATTCTGTAACGTTGACTTCCTAGCATTCGAATCAGATGCCAAGTCCATCCGGCGCTTGAAGTCTCTGCACCCAACCGCATGTACAGATAGCCCCTCGGAGGATGATGCAACTTTTAAATTGGAGTCAAACGGGATTCGAGCTAAGGCTTTGACGTCGTCTCTAGCATCGTGAGCGTCAAAAGTCTCATCAAATAGAGCTTCGTAGAGAGAGGAGAGCGATTTGCTTTTCAAACCGTAAATAGGACTGTCCTTGAGTTTCATCTCTTGAGCTGCCACTTTTAGCGAATCGATGAACAGAACATCCAGACGCATAAAGGACTCCAGCAAATTGTACCGTGATAGCGAGTTTATCAGGAACCGAAAATCAAATCGCTCTCCGTTGTGGGCAATCAGAGAAATCCCGCCATCTGTCTTCTGTAGATATTTCTCCAAAAACGCGACAAATTCTGTAAGTCCCTGTCTTTGTCCGGTAGCCTTCAGGTTTTGCCCGTTCTTTTGCATGATTTTACCACCATCTTTGTACTGCACACTGATACCATGTATCTTGGTAGCAGAGTCTGCAATTGTTCTGGTATCAGGGAGAAGATAACGCTCGAAGCATACGGTACTGTCTGGTCGAATGCAAGCTATTTGAAGAAATTCAGCATTGCGATCTAGACCAGTGGTCTCCAAGTCAAATATCATTTCGTTCTTCACTTGGCAGACTGTATTTGTGGTAGTACTTGTCTGGCTTGCTATAGTGTACTCAGAATACTTATGGAATTCCTCCCTTGTTAGTGACGCCCTTAGATTGTTCAATGTTCCGTTTGTAACGCCGTCGTCTTCTTGAAGGCCAATACCCGTTTCGTACGTAGCCCCCTCTTGTGCCTCCATGGAATGCGTTTTTCGGGTCTTGCGTTTTTTCTTGTTTTTACGTGATTTCTTGAAAGCTTTTTGTTTTTTACGCTTCGAATCAGCTGCGCGCTTTTGTTCCATTGACCTCACATACTGCTGCGTCGTATTACTCACTGTGATACCAAGCTCATTTCCAGCGGCTGTGATATAGGAGTAACCCTCGTTAAACTGAGCTATCCCCGCCGACGTTCTAAAGTCGGCACTCTCGGAGTCACCGTAATGTCGTGTCTTGGGTGCCTTTGTGCCAATAATGCTGTTGAGGCATTCATTACGTTGGCTCGAACCTACTGGAGCCAACTTTTTGGCCGCTTCCTCAGTAAGGAAGGGACTAAGGGCATCCTCGAGGCATACACGGAGATCATTACCACTGAGGTCTTTTCCACCCGGTAAGTCTGTGTGGCAGTAGTTGTCAGGGTCCGCGTTGTGTTTGCACCAAGTCGAGCATGCCTGGTGATTTTCAAAAGCGTGAGGTACAATTGCATTAAGGCCGGCCAACAGCGAAATAGGGTCATTCTTGTTCTGGTTCACGCAGTATTTAAAGCATTTCTGGATGTACACAATAACAGTGGGAGTTAGTCCTTTGACCTTTCCTTTATGTGTATATAATCTTGACCCTAGTGTTCTAGTTGAGTGGTTGATGTCACTAAACTTTTCGATCTCATAATTGACCAGCGTCTTGAGGCGGCTCTCAGTAGTGGTGTCATCTTCGCCCATATAGGAAGAATACGAGACGCCGTTCTTGACCGTTTCGTTAAAGAGTTCAACAGCGACGTTGCTTTCCATACTTTTAGAGGACCCTTTGTGATTTCGCCTACAATCGTGTCGGTATGCCTGCTTGCCTTCTCTTTCTGCTACGTCGCAGATGCGACACGCAGTATTCCTTGTGGAATAACTTAGCACCTTGCCTGTTTTCACTCCTATCGCTGTTCCAACCCCAGAGGACGAGTCATAACTTCGTCCTCGCTTTCGCCATCCCATGTCGTACGAAACTCCTATTTTGACCGTGACGTCCTCCTCCGTTTCCACCTTCTTAGCAGACAAAGCTCTCTCTTTCATGGTGCTTTCTGCACAGCTTCGTTTGGCTGTTCTTTCTATGGCTCTGCCACTCTCTCGCTCATGGACCTTAAATGTTTTACTGCACATTGAGGGTAGACCAAGGACAGACAAGATGCCCTGATATTGCGTGTGACCCAGGCCAGTGTGTAATGCTCCTAAACCTGCTAACGAACTCATGTCAAATATTGGGGGGCCCCTCGTACCAGATCTGTGGGTTTCTGAGGGGCGAAGGACATTTATTCCTTGACAATACGAACATCGCACTTTGAGGACAGGACAAATCCCTTGTGTGCGGATGGTCTCTGATATATTGCACAAGTCAAGGGGACCCATTGTACAATACTGACAGTGTTTCAAAAAGGTGACTAAAGTATGAAGATTGACAGGATAATTTTGTTTCACGTTTCGACGTTCTGATAAGGAAGGCTGGAACGCAGTACCGGTCCTTGTCGGGATGGCGTAGGAAATTCTGGTGTCGCACTATCGCCAGTGGTATTAATGGTCAAGCTACTCCAACGATATTTTCGCATTACTTCACATTTCGCTTTGCTTTGTTGCTTAGCCTTCGCCCACGTTCCATGCTTTGCGTTTTCGGAAGAGATGCCATGTTCATGTTGTTCCTGGATCGGAAAGGGAGGCAATATAATTATCGAAAAATCGCTTTCAGATTTTGTTCAGATTTAGAAAAATAAACAAATCTTAAATATTGTGTTTGCGGAATCTACAAACACTGCAACATAATAAGTTTAAATAAAGAAAATAAATAAAGCAGAAAATTGTTTACATCTGAAAGTCTTCGGGGAAATTCATTGAGGAAAAAATGCATCCATACATGTTGCTGACAAAATTTGAAGGGATAGGTATTTGTTTGATTCAGGACTAAAGTGCAATACCAGGAATCGTTCTCTAAACAGAAGTAGCATATGATATTATTATATCTCTGTCACTTTTTTCATTTGAAGAATTTATTTTTGTAGAATTTTCCATTTTTAAGAATAATTATTAGAAAAAACATTATGAATTTTTTCTAAAGACGTTTAAATAATATCACAAAATTGCTTTTATATTACACAAATAATATACTTGCTTGAATTACCTCAGCTGCAATCTCATGAATGTAATTTGTAGTTTGAGCAGTGCCGTTTGAATCTTCTTCCTAATCACCAAGTACAAATTAGAACTCTCTCATTCTGCCAGATGTACAAAGTTTACAATTACAGCAATCTTACAACTTACCTTATCTGGTAATGACTTTCTGGACGATTTGGATGCACTGTTAAGGAGCATAACATTTGCTTTTCTTTTGCGTGCGTTGCTCGTTGGCGGCATGATGTGCAAGGGAGAGATAACGTGCTTCTCGCTTCCCTTTTTCAACACGCGAGTTATTATCATAATCGGAGAGTGTTCGGTGGCTAATGAAGCATTACAAGTTTCACGTGTGGTGCACTATAATTCACGGTGGTATGAAAATCTGGACAATAGAAAATGTTTGCAAGGAACACGCATTGTCAAAATAACAAGTGACCAAGGGCTCTAAAAAAGATAGCGCAAACCTTCCCGTTTTGGCGTCGATTGTTTATACCCTTAGAGTATATCAACAACCTTCAAAGTTTGAGGGAAAGTACTATGGGGAACAATAGAGCCCTCAAGAAATTTTAAAGAAAATTCATCGACGGATATGAAAATAAATGCATAAATTAGCGATCTAGTTCATTTTTGCAGAAATACTGAAAATAGTGCATTTACTATAAGTAGCAAAACAAGAGATCAAACGAACCGATCAAGTTGTAATACGGAGGCTTGAAAGGTTAAGCAGCTTTCTTGACTAATGTAGTGAGGAAAAAATTGTAAGCATTTTGTTGAGTCGTTATTTTCAAGGATTGATTTCAATGTTCTAAAAAATCCAGAAACAGACCCTTGAAAAAACAGACGCGCTTTATTCGAAAATGCTCTTACAGAAATCAATCAAACTTGGCTAAAGTGTTGCCCATAATGGGCAGTATTCATACCTTTAACCGATCTTTTTAAAGAGTTCTTTACTCTCTGCAAACACAAAATGACGAAAATTGGCCATGGCAACGTAGCGTTGCTAGGGACGCTCCGATCTTCCAAAATCCTACAGCATAGCAAACTTCAATCTATTACAACTTTACATGTAACATTGATATTTCGAGAAAATTCCGTCTTAGGGGAGTTCTTCAAGGTTAGAAATTGGTAGTCAGGCAGTTGAAAAACTGTATCGAGCCACCTTAACTGATCTTGACTAGTCGTACTTAGTTACCACGGAACGAATTAACGTCAAAACCTTCCTTGAGACTGAACTTATCCAATCAAAGCGTCGGAAGTTTATTATCAAAGTCTTAATCATCTCGAGCCACAAATGTCACTCTCGCAAGCGAGCGAGCGAGAAATGATTGACGAACGAAGATACTGATCTCCACGAACTGTAAGTGGGTTTTTCTCAGTTCTGATTCGTGAGCTGGTTCAGAAATTTCACGATTTCTTTCTTTTTACTGTATTTGACAGCGGAAACAACATTAATGCAAGACTTCGGGCTGTGTAAACGAAATGAGATTTTTTTCGTGACCACCTGTTGCAATAAGCAATGATAATTTACAAGATAGGTCAACCTCACGTCTCATAAAAGAAACTGAAAGCCACTACATTTACTCAAAGAAATTCAAGCGAACCAGAAAAGCGCATACGAAAGGGAAGAAACAGAACAGCTCTAGCATGAGAGTGGGACCAAAGTAAGAATAATTAAGAATAATTAAAGCGCTTTTCGACTGAAAAGAGAGGAGTGATATGGAGTGAAACTTAAAAATCACGCTTTGTAATTGTTCTACGTACGACGTTTTGAATAAACACTCAACGTAATGAGCAGTATCTTAAATTCTATCCGGGCTTTAACAGGACAATTCAAGTACTTTTGAAGTACACTTAAACTCAAGTGCCCTTGAGGGTCTATTGCGAACCAACCTATTAATACAAAAAGGATATGATCAAATAACTGCTTGTAACAACTAATTGTTTCTGGTTTTTTTTGCTAATTTGTTGTTATTTTGTCCCTTTCAGCTTTGGGCATCCGCTGTTACTATTGCAGCCCAACCTGGAAAAGTTTATGTTTAAACCAAGGGTATTACAATATAAGCGATTGTAAATCACCCCACGATGCATGCGGTGTGATGGCTTTTACAACAGAGATTCAATCGGCACACGTGACATCCCATTTTATGCAGTGTGTTGAGAAGGTAATTACTATAGTTGTATCCCTGTTTGTTTTCCTTTTATCCACTGCCCTTATCACTGTCATAGACTCGTGGCTTCCACTGGCGTTCGCCACGTCAGTCACATTAAAGGTCTAAGCGGCCAGTAAGACTTAACTCCGTTATTTGGAATCAGGATACTTATTTATGTGTAGAAATAATGAACAGTAAACGACAGGCAAAGGGGAAACTTGGTCACGTGGTAGAAATTCGCGTTTGCCGTTTGCAGGAAGTAAACGTGAGTTTAACGTCTCCAATGTCATTTACGGCAAACGGCATACGCGAGACTCGAGTTAAGAAATTTCCAAAAAAGGAAATGACAGGATAAAAACAGCTCAAAAAAATTCTTATGAATAGAAATGGCGCGAATCTATCGATTTGCATGCAGTTATAATAAACAGTAAAAAAGAAGAAAAGCGAAAACCCTTGGCCACGTGGAACAAACTTACATTAGCTGTTCTCCCTATTGCCTCCATTCTCCTCCGCATCAAAAATAGTCTATGATCTCCACCTTCTTACAACGCTTCCTTCCTGATAATGGCCCTATGCTACTTAGATTATGTTGTTATCATTGCCGATGGCATTAAGTGGGCAGAAGCAAAAGATCGAGGTCAGCGTTTGACCTCCACCTTCTTACCATAGCAAAGCCACCTGAAAAGATTATCAACGGTGGTATTTCCAGAAGTTGATGGGTTTTTATGTGAAGATTAAAATGTCCTTGAAACCAGGACCTTTCACGGGCATGAAATATCTTGATTTTCGGCCAACTTTTGTTGAACCTATATGACATTACACGAAGCGAAAAAAATTGACCGATTGAAATATAATTTTCAATATTTGTTCCAGTTCCATGTCTTTCATGTCGCACTTGATGTTACCGCCAAGTCGTTAACGAACCAGACCCAGATTTCTGCCATTTTCACACCGTTATTTTCTCAAAAGTGCGCGGTTTATTTTTAAAGAAAGTTACTTTTCTTGATAGCCTATTAAGAGCCACTCTCCCTAACCACCGCGTGAGGGGTGGCACAAGGTCGGAAAAATGGACCCCTTGATATTTCGTCCAGAGATAACCTATGGTATGCTAAGAAGCGTGATTTAAGTTTTAGGTTCTAGAGTTTTTACATTTTTGAGAAAAGTACGAAAAACCGTCAACAAAGAAGCAAGAAGTGAAGGAACGAAGTAGTTATAGAAATGGGTATCCTGGCGAATTCTTCGAATTTACAGAATTTTATTAAATCAACTAATACAATCCCACCATACGCAAGGGACTACAAAAAAGAATACCTTTTTATTATAGGATTAAATAAAGAATTTAAGTATTTTGTTGAGCATATTAATGAGGCACCTAATGGATTATTTGAGAGCCACAAAGTTGATAGAATTAAGTATTTTATAAAAAGATTTTTAAAAGGGCAAGAAAAGGGTAGATTATTATGAGGGGGGGTGAATATGTCTAATTATAACTTAAACATTTACGTTTAATAATATAATCTTATTATAAGACGTCATGTCTAACCAGTTAACCAATGGTTTTCAGGGTTCTCAACCCTTTATAACAGATAAACAATTTCAGAATATGTCTTTGGATGAAATAAGACATATAATAGCACAAGAAAAAGAAGAACTTAAGAAAGATTATAAGGAATTAGGAGAGCGAAAAAGATTGATTAAAAAATATAAAAAATTAATAGCAGCTAGACAAGAAGTAAAACAAGGTATAAATATAAAAAAGAAACTTAAGAAACCTAAAACCCCGCCGTTTTGGCGGGACCTTCTAAGAAGAAAAAAATAAAAACATTTGATGAGTATTTTGAGGAATGTATTAAAAATAGAAAGATTCCCAAAGATACTCCTTCTTATTTACGTGAAGCTCTTGAAAGAGCTATGTATGAATATGACCAAGGACTTGAAAAAGAAAAATCAGCTTTTGAAGACTTTGCTGTTAAGTATACTATTCAAGGAATTCCTGGTCTTACTCCAGAACAGTTTTTTGAGAGTATAAATAAAACTTTAAAAGATTTTTTTACTTATCATAGAAATATAAAATTTAAGATGATTTTGGTTTGTATCATGGAAAAACAAACTATTCAACCAAATGTTGCTGTTGTAGGATTAGAAGAAGGTAAGGCTTATTTTAATTCGTTTACATTTACTAATAGCAAATCAGATGATGTTGACAAATTAATTCAGGTAAGTTTTGATGGTATTGATGGTGGTATAGAAGCATATCAACAAGCTGGAAGTGCATGGTATTTTAAAGAAGTGGAAAAACTTGAAATTCATACTGTTGAATATAACCCAACGAAAGGGTCATCTTACATTCCTCTTCCGGGGTGGATATCAAATAAAAAAGCAATTGTTAATTTAAAAAACAAAGATGAGAAATGCTTTCTTTGGTGCATACTTAGATATCTTTATCCAAGAGATAGAGATGAAGAACAACTAACAGGATTAAAAAAATATGAGTTTTCACTTAAGACAAAAGGCATTACTTTTCCTATGAAATTAAAAGATATAATCAAATTTGAAAAACTTAATCCAGAACTTCCAGGAATAAATGTCTTTTCAGTTGATAATATGACTATTTATCCTTTGAGAATGGCAGATAGAGATTGTTTAAATACTATTGATTTATTTTTGTATGAAGAAGATGGAGTTTCACATTATACACTAATTAAAAATTTTAATCGTTTGATAAAGGCACAAAAAACTTCGAGTAGGAATGGTTAAATATTTATTTGTAAAAAGTGTTTTACTCATTTCACTAAAGAAGAATTATTAGAAAACATATCAAATATTGTTCTAACAATGAAACAGTTTGTGTAAATATGCCTGAACCAAACACAATGTTATATTTCAAAAATTACTATAAACAACTTCCTATTCCTTTTGTAGTTTATGCAGATTTTGAATGCTTTACCAAACCAATGAATACTTGCAGTCCTAATCCAAAAGAATCGTATAATTACAACTACCAAAAGCATGAACCATCAGGATTTTGTTTTTATATAAAAGGAGTGGTAGATAAAAAATTTAAACCAATAATTTATACAAAAACAAAAGAAGATGAAGATATATCAAAAGTATTTGTAGAAAAACTTGCAGAAGTAACTAAAGGAATTTATAATGATTTTTATCGTAGACCAAAACCTCTTAGACTAAGTCGAGCCGAACAAGAATTATTTGATGAAGCAGAAATTTGCCATATTTGTAATAAAGAATTAAAAGAAGATAAAGTTAGAGATCATTGTCATTTTACAGGCCAATACCGTGGTGCAGCTCATAACAGTTGTAATCTTAAATGTAGGAAACCATTAGTTCTTCCAGTTATATTTCATAATCTTCAAGGATATGATGCTCATTTATTTATAAAACAACTTGCTAGATTACCAGGTAATTTGAACTGTATTCCATCAACAGAGGAAAAATATATTTCCTTTTCTAAAAGTATTAAAGTTGATGAGTATAAGTCTTATAAATTTGACCAAATGGTACCAATAAATTTTGAAATACGATTTTTAGATTCATTCAAGTTTCTTCAAACATCACTTGCCAATCTTGTTTCAAATTTACAACCAGATGATTTTCATAATACAAAACAAGTATTTAAGAAATATGTAAATCTACTAACTCGTAAGGGAGTTTATCCCTATGACTATGTTTCATCACTTGAAAAACTATCCGACACACAATTACCCCCAAAAGAGGAATTCTATTCAAAACTAAATGATGAAGACATAACTGATGATGATTACCAACACGCAACTAATGTATGGAATACTTTTAAATGTAAATCATTAAGAGATTATCACGATCTTTACCTAAAGTCTGCTGTCCTACTTTTGTCAGATGTATTTGAAAACTTTAGAAAAACTTGTCTCAAGCATTATAAACTAGATCCAGCTCATTATTTCACATCTCCCGGTTTAGCTTGGGATGCTTGTCTCAAAGAAACAAGACAGTATTTATAGTTACTAGATGATTATGATATGTTAATGATGTTTGAGCGAGGTATTCGTGGTGGAATAACACACATATCAAAAAGATATGCAGTAGCAAATAATAAATACATGAAAGATTATAATCCTGATGAGGAGTCAAGTTATATTCAATATCTCGATGCAAACAATCTTTACGGTTGGGCAATGTCACAGCACTTCCTACACATGGGTTTAAATGGATGAGAAACCTAACAAAAGAAAAGGTAATGGAAATTCTAGAGAAAGCAAATCATAGTATGTTTAATAAAGGAAAAAAAGGTTATATATTTGAAGTTGATTTGGAATATCCTTCAACACTATGGGAGGAGCATAATGACTATCCTCTAGCACCTGAGAAGATGATTGTTAATGGCGTTGAAAAACTAATTTGTCATTTTAAACCAAGAAAAAACTATGTTGTACATTATCGAAATCTTAGACAATATCTTGAAATGGGAATGAGAATAACTGCTGTTCACAGAGGAATATCATTTTATCAAAGTTCTTGGATGGAGCCATATATGAGAAAAAATACAGAACTTCGAAAGACAGCAGCCAACAGTTTTGAGAAAGACTTTTTCAAACTAATGAATAATTCAGTATTTGGAAAAACAATAGAAAATATAAGGAAAAGACAAAATATAGAACTTGTTGATAATCGTAAGAAAGCTGCCAAACTATCAAGTAGACCAAATTTTGATAGAGCAACAATATTTGATAAAAATCTTATTGCAGTCCATATGAAGAAGACTGAAGTTTATTTTAACAAACCAGTATATGTTGGTCAAGCAATTCTAGATTTATCAAAAACATAAATGTTTGATTTTCATTATAACTACATCAAAAAGAAATATGGAAACAAAGCTGAGTTATTGTTTACAGATACTGATAGTTTGATGTTTCAGATTTACACAGATGATTTTTACAAAGATATATCCCATGACATACTAACCAAGTTTGACACTTCAGATTATCCCCCAATCACCCATCTGGAATACTGACAGGAGTTAACAAAAAAGTAATAGGAATGTTTAAAGATGAAGTAGCAGGAAAACAAATAACTTGTTTTGTTGGATTGAGGCCCAAACTTTACAGTTTTAGAATTGAAGAAGATAAAGAAGTACGTAAATGTAAAGGAATAAAGAAAAATGTTATAAAAAAGAAATTAGATTTTGATGACTATGTCCAATGTTTATTTATGGGAAGAAAAGAAATGAGAAAGATGAAGATAATACGAAGTGAAAAACATGAAATATATTCAAAAGAAGTTAACAAAGTAGCTCTAAGTAATGAAGACGATAAAAGAGAGGTCTTATTGGAAAAGGTAAAAACAATAGCTTTAAGATAATAAGATATAAATAATAAATGTCATATACAGAAGATCAAATAAAGAAATATCTAGAAATATTGAATAATTATACTAGTAAACCTGAAGAGGAAGTTAGTAGAAAATCTAAATGTTGTAATTGCCAAAATAGTGAATGTTTTACCATTGATTCTGGCTACAAAATCTGTTATTACTGTGGAGTAGCAAACGGGCATGTATTAGGCTTTTACGATGTTAAAGATTATGATAGATTATATTTTAGAAAAAAGAGTATTTATCATAGAAAGTATCACTATGAGAAAAAGGTTAATCAAATTTCTAAAAGAATAAACCTAACTGATGAACAAAAATGTGAACTTTATGATAAAGTAATAAAAATAGATAATTACACCATGGAAATACTAAACAAGCAATACTTTAGAAAGAGAATGATAAGTATTTTTTATTTAATTAAAAAACTTTTGGAGGAGATGGGATGTAAAAGGTATAAACTAATTTATCTTAAGATTAGTCCTCAAACTTTAGAGATTTATGAAAAGTGGTGGTTAAGTTATAAAGATTTAAAGAATAAAATATTTAAATAAAATGAGTAAGCGAGTTCTTGATTCACCTGAAATTGAAGCAAAAGATTTGTTTTATAGAAATCGTGATAATGATTTATTTGAAAATTTTTTCGAAGACGCTAGTCCACCAGATGGAGTATCAAAAGACGATTACCTAAAAGAATTAAAAATAGAGTATTACAATTTAAAAATAGAAGAAGCAAGAAGAACTCTAGGTTTAAAAAAAGAATTAAGAGTGTGTCCATGAGAGAACCAGGCAGGCAGTGATAATGCTCAAATCACGGAATTCGCTCAAACTTGGCACAATTGATGGGTGTGGTGAGATATTAACCTCGACAAAAAATAAGGTCGCAATATTGAATTCCCTGGGATTTACAGGGACCCCCCCTAAAAACGACAAAATCTACTCATTTTTGCATAATTAATTAGCTAACTTTGGTTTGGCTGTTCAACAAGAAGAAAAGACAACTTCAAATCTAATCAACTTTATCATCTTCTATGTTTATCAGACTTAATGCTCAGTAATTTATTTTTACTCTCTAATTTCATATCTTCCTATTATTTAGCCTAAAGTAAAGACATCTTCTAACTGTTTTGACCAAACCCTAAATTTAAGGTATTTTAGTGGCTAACATCTCCCATGAGCAACAACCTATGTACTTAATTCTCACATATTCTTTGAAAGACATCTTTAAGGTTATCAAATCAATCATAAAATATTTGGGCAATCTCATACTTTATCAATAATGACGTATTATGTACATCTGACTTGACTCTTTTTGTCATTTGACCAAAATACGAGGAAACGTAACATTCGTTTTTCTAAACAAAAATAGCACAAAGTTGGCGAGAAGTCACAAATCAGATGCCTCATTGTCGATACTAATAGCGGAATTGTTAGAAAGTGTCACCTGAGGCATGTTTTCTGTGTTATTTATGGACGTTTGGATGGATATTTTATGGAACGCTTGAGTAAACACAAGGAGGAAAAAAGATTTAGTTCAAAACCTCGATCGGTCCAACTTGTAGGTGAAACAAGACCCAACAAGGATAAAAGATAGTGAATAAATGTTACATACACGTCTCTCAGATGCTTTAGTTCAGATTTGCTGCTCCAGTTTCGTCTGGTCCTCTGTGGCGTTACTTCGTGACGAGGTAATGAAATCGAAACATCTTGAAACATTGCAAAATTAAAAGTGTCGGCTTTTCACCGAACATTCGAAGTCTTTGAAATAAGTTGTAGTCAGAATGAACAAAATCATTCTCAAAGGACAAGAAAGATCACTGACAATCCGTCTATATCTACGGAAAACAACCACCTGCTCGAACACCCTCCATCTTTGACTTTGGACTCTGCCAAAAGGATGGAATCTGTGACGCCGGACTACCGGACTCCGGAATGCGGAATACGCTACCTATTGTTTGTACGCGCCAATATCCTGTTATAACTGGTGTGTTGAAAATAGGTTGCGAAAGTCGTGTTACTTGAAATTTTGAGTTTATTCGGTGTTGACATTAATTACCATGATAATAATTGTCCATAATAGCCCTTTTCGTAGTCAGACCGTGCCGTGCAATTTTTAGACAATTAATGACTTGCCATTGGGTATACTGACTTACTTACTTGTATTTTAATCCTCGTAGTCTTACAACTATACAGGTTGGTATCTGTATCTGGGTATATTATTGACTACAAAAATATAATAATAACCGTTTATAAAAGTGTTGAGGAAAAACTTCTGAGGAATACAAAAGAACCAAAAGGAGGCACTAATACACTGCAAAAAAAGTCGACAAGACTTCTTTAGCTATTCAAGGAAGATGTAAAAGAACAGTTTCTTGAACACAGACTAATACACTATATTAACTTCTCATTTAAGCTGTCATTTGCGGATTCATACAGTGGATTAAGTTCTCTTAACGGACACTCTCGTATATAGCGAATAGCTCTACTTACGACCGTCATCACAAAATCCCGTTTCAACTTCCACACAAACTCTGGATTTTTACATTCCCGTAGGCGGCCGCGGACACTTAAAGGGTTTACCGGTGAATTAGATGTTAGCTTTGATTTAAAGCTCGTAAGCAGACACTCGAAAGAAAATCTTATCCACCTCTTAATGTTGTTGTTGTTTTTTTTTTTTTTTCATATCATGTCCACAGTCATTGCTGTTTGTCACTGTTATGAATCATTCTTATATATCCGTTTCAGAGTTACCGTATGAGATTCATTGTTGTAAGCGGCCAGCTCCAGTTAAGGACGCCTTTTTCTCTTCCCGAGGGTGTCCTCTTACGAGAGCTTCCACTGTATTACAATTTGGGAAGGGTATTAAACATATGGAAGCGGTTGTTTGAGAAAAATATCTAACTCAATGTGAAAGTGTGGTGTATTTTGAGTTCTACTTGGGAACATTACTGCCACAGTTAGGCTTTATAAGACCCGCAAACGACAGTACTAGATAAAAAATTCAGTGTTTATGACAGTCAAATCTGGTGCCAGCAGGGTAGGGCATTTGTACGCAATTTGGCCACTCCCCTGGGGAGAAGGGACTCCAGTATGAAAAAAAAATGGTATTCTTGTCGCAAGCCAAATTGGACGTGTCTCACGCTTTATTTGTCTCTTTGAACTGGTCTGCACGAAGATCCGACTTCACTTCGCTGCTATTTCACGTGCGACTAAAATACAATAAATAGTTCTTTCCAAAACACGAAGACAAAGCGACTTCTATCTTCGAGTTTGAGAAGACATGGGATCATTTATTATCATGGTCTGAATAAAGTTGCCAATAGATTTGGAATTCTAAATTATTTATTAGCATACAATAACAATAAAATAATCTCAAAGAATGTCGGAAAGTCATATTTTCGACTGAATTTTGTTCACTGGACTCTCGCTCCTGGATCCTGGCTCCTGGCTCCTGACTCCCGATACGATGTTTCCGTATGGTGGCAACCGCTGCTTAAAAATGCGGGCTCCAGTTAATGTCAAAGATGGCGGACGTTGGTAACATGTGAATTGAGCTACAACAGTGGCAGACATAATTCTTTCAATGGGTTAAAAATCGGCTTTCTACTTTTCGTATTGTTTTCTCCTAAAACAACTTGATTTGGATTTTGGTGCGTAAACTGATGGCTAAGGAATTTTAGTCGTACAGCGAGTCACGGCGCTGAACTACGCTTAACTGGACATCGACGGTGGCATGGGGAACAAATCAAAGCGTGCACAAACTAGCAGTTGAAACATCTAAGAGATACGTATATGGATTTTATTGACCGTTTATATTGTTTTTAGCGCGAAATTGTTAACGTAAGTAAAACTGTGAATTAAATCTTTGTATGTTGTTTTTAGTTGAAAAGATCGCTTATATAGCTATCAAAAATCATCGTTAGGGTTTCTTGCACAACAATTTCAACGATTTTACCCTTATTAATGTTAAATCATTGTCTGGTGAGTTTTTTTGTCTGATTTCTCCTCATTCAAAGGCAAACACACGAATATTGTGAGGGCCTGAATTTTGATGAAATATGCAAAAGTCGTTCAGTCACATGAACAGTTTATGTCAACACATGGAAGAAAGTGAATTGCCCAAACTTTTTATGATCTTTTTCTCAACTTAAGTGATGGCTTTAACTACTCATGCAAAAGTTATAAAGATAAGCTGTTGCTCATTAGAGATATTTGGGAATAAAATACCCTAATTTTACGACTTACTCAAAACTTGGAAATGATGACCCAACCTAGGGGGGCTAAGAGGGAGGAAATCGAATCGGCGACTTTAAACAGTTTAACGTGCTTAAAGTTTTATGAACTCAGATCATCTCTCAGTGCATTTAAGTTCAGGGTGGCTTTTCTGTTTGTTGCACTGGCATTGTAAAGTTAGCTAATTAATTATGCATAAAACGGGCAAAATGGCGATTTTTACAGGGGGAGCCCGGATCTCCCAGGGAATTTAATATTTGGACCTGACATTCTTTCACATAAGTTAACTCCTGATACCTAACATTTGTGCCGAGTTTGAGCGAAATCGGTGATTTGAGCATTATCACCCCCTGCCTGGTTCTGCCTGGTCTTCTCATGGACACACTCTTAATTTATTACTACTACGAATTTCCTGATGGACAAGTATTTGAGGGACGAATAAAATATGGTACATTAGATCAAAGAGATAGTGTTTATAGGAGTACAAATTTATGTAATAATATTTCAAAAAGAATATTATCCTTGTAATAGATTTGAAATAGGAAATAATATTAATAAAAAAGTATATATTTGTCATAGTGATAAATCAATAAAAGAATTATTAGAATCTTGTAAAGAAGATAAATGTCATTTTGTATATGATTATTTAAATAGTTATCCATCTCCTCTAATAATAGTACATGGAAAAGATTATGATAGGACTTATAGATTTCATTATAATGAACCTAAAGTAGATGATAATAGATATAATCTTAATTTAGAAGAAATGAATAAAAAAGTAAAAGAAATAGCTAGAAGATATTTAAATGATGGTTATGGCTCAATTAATTTATTAGGTTTATTTAAATAATTTTATATTAATTTTTAATATAAAATTGTAAATATATTTATTTAAATCCTTTATGAAAAATCCAGTAAATTATTCCAGTTAGGTAACCTAATACTTCACTATTTATTGGAGAGTCAAATGTACGGTGGCCCACAACGGCAATACACAAATATATATCATATTACTTCATTCTATATCTTAGTACACAAACATATTCATTGGTTGTGCGAGTATATTTACCAGTACAATAAAATATACACCAGTACAACAATATGTATCCCAGTACAGAAATGTTAATTTCAGTACAAAAATATAAACTCCAGTACGGAAAGATATCTCCAATTCTTAGTACACAAATAACAGCTCCAGTCCAAAAAAAATTATCAATCTCTCAGTACAAAAACATAGGTTCCAGAACAAACATATTCATCGGTTGTGCCACTATATTCCTCGGTACAGTAAAATTCATGTATACAACAGTACAACAATATGTATCCCAGTACAGAAATATAAATCCCAGCACAAAAATAAAAGTTGCGGTACAAAAAAATTTACCGCGTCCGCTGGACAAGGGTAACGCAGCCTTGGCCTAAATGATCCCATAATCCTTTTATACATCATTTTAGCGCCATTTTCACAAACCGTACAAAGCAACTAACATGGCTTCACTGGGTCCATGTTCATTCTGCTCTAAATGCGGATTTTGTTTTGAAAATCACCTGAACGACTACTTCGATTTTTGCCCGTCTTGTGGAACAGAGGTGAGTTCAGAGGTAGCAAGCGATGATGATGAAAGGTCGATTATCGAGTATTACTTTTCGAGGGGATATACTCATGAAAGTATTGTCAAGCTGCTTTCTAAACAGCACGGTATTCATATAGGGGAGCGAACACTGAGATATCGATTGCAGAGTTACGGTTTGCGTAGACGGTGTCCTGTTTATGATTTAGCTGAAGTACGACAGCGTGTAGCTGAACAACTTGATGGTCCTGGTTCTATGGGTGGATACAGATCTGTGTGGCATACACTTCGACTTGACGGGATTCAAGTTCCTCGACAAGTAGTTGCAACAGTCGTGAGGGAACTCGACCCCTTGGGTTGTAAGATGAGGAAAGGGAAACGACTGAAACGAAGGAAATATTATGCTCCAGGTCCTAACTTTTGCTGGCACATTGATGGATATGACAAATTAAAACCTTTTGGTTTTCCTATACATGGCTGTATCGACGGCTGGAGCAGAAAGATTATGTGGTTACAAGTAGCGCGTTCAAACAATAATCCTGAAGTTCCAGCGAAGAATTTCTTAGAGTCTGTTACTGAATACGGCGGTTGTCCAGTCAAAGTGCGTAGCGATTGTGGCACTGAAAATGGTGTCTTGGCGGCAATACAGTGTGAATTTAGAGGTACAGCTGATGCACATGTGTTTGGATCGTCTCCTTCTAATCAGAGGATTGAAGGGTGGTGGTCGTTCTATAGAAGGAATCGTTCCACTTGGTGGATCAACTACTTCAAAGATTTGATTGAAAAAGATGAATTTCACCCAGGAAACCAGTTAGAGGAAGAAGCTTTGTGGTATTGCTTTTCTAGAATTCTGCAAGAAGACCTGGACTTAGTAAGAGAACACTGGAACACTCACCGCATCCGGGACTCTAAGCATGACACTGTGCCTGGTAGACCTGATGAATTATTTTTTTTACCAGAATGTAATGGGGGAATTGATGGGCTACTTCTTCCAGTTTCTACTGAGAAACTACGTTTTGTGTCAGACAACTTGTTACAGCATGAAGATGAAATTAACGAATTTCAGAATTACTTTGACTACATTATGGCTAACAGCAACTTTCATCTACCAAGCAACTGGAGAGAGGCAGAATGGTTGTATCTGCAATTTGTTAGTATTGCTACCCAGTAGATGATGAACAACTGCGTTTAACAATGAGACCTATCAAACGTAAACTTTTTTTCATTTTGTAAACCGTAGTGGTTTCGCAAGAACAACACTTTTTATTCTTGAGGTATAATGGCACCAGTCAGTAATGTAGTAGCATATTGATTGATGCTGCATGTGATTGTTATTGAAATGCAGAACTGCAATAATTTCGACCAGGTCACCATTTTAGTTGGACAAACCAGAAATAATAATGTCGGTCAAGTTATTTTAAATTTAAATTTCCTTCAGTACCATGTAAATCTTTAGCTTCAAAATGTTAGTCTTTGGTATTTGATCTGATTGGTCATCGTTTCAGACCACAAATAAGATTTTGTTGGACAATGGGAAAATTTAGTCAGACATTAACCGATGAGTGACTGAATCAATGGGTTGAACTTAAAAACTTCTCAATTCCACTGATTTCCAGCTGCACCATATACTCAACTGAATACCTTAGTAGTGGTGACTTTTTAGAAGATTTACTCCTGAACCCGCCTGTGTGGAACCCCTTGTTCCATCATAATTATTTACGGTTTCCCAAATGAATGCAATTCAGTCAAACTGGCCAGAGAAACAAGCAAAAACCAAACAAGTAAATTGGCCAAAAAATTCCAATAAAATCCCCAAGACCCAGCAACAGTTCCAGAAGTGAACGGGTTGAACTTAAAAACTTCTCAATTCCACTGATTTCCAGCTGCACCATATACTGTAAACCCAAGGGGAAGCTTAAAGAGACTGAGGTGACAATTTCTATATCCTAGATATGCCTAATAATAATGTCTCAACCTACCGGTATGTGAAAGGAGAGCCATTGGTAAATCATAACGTCAAATGCACAAGTGGATAACAACTATATGACTTAGACGTAGCAATATCAATATTTTTTTTTAATTAATACTCCATGGAAGAAAGGTCAAAGGTAATATAAAGTATCTTCCTATTCCAAAAAATATTCTTGACCTAAGGGTAACTGTAATAATCAAAGCAAGAATTGTTTTTTTTTTTCATCAATTTAAGAGATAAAACACTTAATTGTATCCAACAGAACAAACAGCAGAGTAACGACATAGTCCTTGGTGTCATTTACAAAGAGTCAAAGGCAGCATGGGTATGTCATGGGTATGACTTGCCCTACAGTGTGTGGCCTTACTGAACATTCTTTTTGGACATCCTTCAAGTCCAAAGAATAATAATTTTACAATAATTGAACAAATTTCAACATATTAAATGGCCGCAATAAGTACACATCTCAAGGCAAGATTAACATTCATTTTTAAACCAAACCAAAGCCCTCTGAATCAGTTATAGCTGAACCCATGATACTCTTCATGTCATCTGCATTGTCAAGATACACAGGCAGGGTAATTTTAAGAGCACATGTGGATGTGGTTGGCCGACATCGGCATCCAACTACACAGACATGCAGAAACTGTATAGACAGTTTCTTGGGTAATCCCAGTGGTGGAATAGTACTGGATCCAACTGCCCACTTCAAAGTTGTTTGCAAACCATCTGTATTGAGTGATTGTATGTAGTTGGTAAAATGATAGAATACATCTATCTCCTTTTGTTTCTTAACATCAGACAAACTGAAATCCACAAGCAGCTCATTAAGAAAAGCTGTAGCTGTTAAACTGGGGGCACTTCCTGAGACAAACACTGGTTCCCATATCAGTGGGTACTCTCTTATTGACTTTAAGAGACCATATGTCTTCAATCCTTCTTCAAGTTTGGAGATGCTAGACAATATTGTAGGAGATTGGTCATTCATACAAATTGCTCTGTAAACGAAAGAACAAGAACAAACTAAAATCGGCCAGATACTCCTTGGAACATTAAATTTTTAATTGGCAAAATGGGACATAAATTTTAGCAAAAGGTCTCTTATTTGCATTTAAAAAAAATGCCCACAAAACTGCTATTACTGTTATTCCATTTAATGTCATTTAATATAATAAATTCCTACAAGTCATTAGTAACACAAACACACTTGACTCCTGGATACAAACCATTATTTTACCAAGGCAGTGTTGTGTGGTCTACCCTGGGTTATAGTGGAATGATTCATCAAGCTTTAGAGTGCATTATAATTTTACTGTAACTTCCCTGAGAGCAAAAAACTTGTTATCTTGCCCTATAAAGGGGAAAGAAAGCTTTGCTTTTGCAAAAGAAATTAAATTTTTCCGTTGCAGTCAGCTTACTTCATCAGATTTACATTACCCTGTCACATAAAGATGTGGGCATGTACATGTCTACAAAGAAAACCATTTAAAAAGAAAAACGGAACAAAAAATGTAGCTCAGCTATGAGCAAGAGTTAAGGTACAATGGTTTCCAACTATTAAGTGTTTGCATGAATCTTATGCATCAGTCAATTCCACCTGCGCCCAGCCCCCACAATCCCCCCCCCCACCCCAGGCTGCAGTAGCCCTGGGAAGGAGGGGCTGGGGAGGTGGAATTGACTGATGCATTAGTGCAAACGCACTAAACGTTAGGACAGCTGTAACTGTATTGATCTGCATCATATGCAGTACTTACTCAATGATTTTTTTTAATTGATTCTTTGTTTTCTCTTGCGGGTACACCATTATAGCCAATGCCTTGAAGAGTATCCAGAATTTGGTCTTCCATTAATATGTCTGAAAGTTGATCTTCTGATGCATTTCTGAGCTGAAAAATATAGATAACATAACACTAAAACTGTCAATTCTTGTTACTGCCAATGAGTAATTTATTACTTTGCTGTTCAGAAACACTTCATGTCATTTAAAAATGCATGCTATCACAATTCAGCTGCTATTTATAAAATCATTCTATTTGGTCAATAACTAGCAAGTGTTCTGTGAAGTGGATGTCTGTTAAATACAAGACTTTCAAAAGCATCTGTCACAAAGCACTGTGTTTATTAGGAGGTTCTTTTGCCTAACAAAATTTTATGTGAATTAAAAAAAAAACTGTTCATCTTTTCTTATCATGTTTTCCATCAGGGCCAAGTTGTCCGAAAGATGATTGGTGTAAATCCAGGGTTATTTACCATGACAGTCCACATGATTTGTTGTAGTTAACCCAGGAATACTGCTAACTGGGCTTTGAAAAACTCGGCCCAAGCTACAAAAATAAAGTCTCTCGTATTGCCTGGAATTTTAAATACATCATTTGTACCTTGACGCAAGTTTATTTCAATGATTCATCTTTCAGTTCCTCAATGGCAAATTATCTACTGACCACATTGTAAATTTCACGAGCAAGGAAGTTTGGACTTGGTCCGCCCTGGACAACTGACATGGCCATCACTTCCCCAGCGGTGACAAAGTCATCTCTTGTCACAGCTAACATGGACTTTGTTGGGAACCCATCAGGAAATAGCCTGTTTCTACAGTATTCAATCATTTCTATAAAATAAAAAAATCCTACATGAAGAACTTGAAACCTTTCAATAAAACAGTGGTGGGGGTCGTGGAAGCTAATATCATACTGATATTATCACCCCTCTTACTGAACACACAAAAAGCAAAATAAATATTAATCCTAAGTCAATCCCTAGAAATTGAACTTGCCCACCTGAAAAGAACTCACGCTTTGGTCCACCATCATCAATTGCTGGTTCGCCACTAAAAGTAATTTTGATGGTGTTCAAGGGAGAGTAGTAATCACTGCGAGCTCTGCTAAAATCTGACCACAGGTGATTTCTTCGGACAGTGACCCTTATTTCCTCTTGCTGTACATTTGCTGCGAGATTACAGATTTGGTGGGTGTTTCTTGGTGTTGCGGAAACTATTGTTTGTTAGCTTTTGTGTTGTGGTGTGGGTATTGTTCAGCGTCTTTTCAATCTTTTGTATTACGTCATTGGTGTCCGCAACACCAAGAAACCACCGATTTGGTCTTTCAGCATTCCTTTCTCTTGCACAACAGCTTAAAGCACAAAATGAAAAGAGAGATACAATATCTTAGAAAAATCTGTTTACCTGCCCCTCCCCCTCCAAATGCAAAAGGTGGTAGTTTGAAAGTACATAGACAATACTTTTTTCCTCAAGCAGGACTGGGTCATTAGAAGTTAAGCAAGCTACAGCCTTATGCTTACTCACTGTCTAATTAACCACATAGGCAATTTTTGAACATTTACACTGCTTTAACAACAACCACACTCCTTATGATCATAGAACAATTTATCTTTTAGCTTGCCAATAATTTCTAAGCATATACTTGCATATAAACTTTGATCTGCATATATTACTTAATCACATTGAAAACTTGAACTCCCACATAAATTAAAACTTACTAGATCGAGAAAACAAGTTCATCTACAGCTAAATCGTGCATCTACATTGTGCCAAAAATGCAATATAACTTATCATACAAGCACCACAAACCTGTTGACCTGGAACATGACGAATTAAGTGGGTGTGGATCTGGAAGTTCTTCTACAGACTGAGCACACCTATCTGCATGCTCCTCAATTGCACTGATGGGAAACGTGCCCCAGCAGGTAGGGCAGTTGACCAGAAAGCAATCGTCCCCAACTGAAGATGTTGACGGGGCTGCTGCAGTGCTTTTTCCCCTTCCTGAACTAAAACTCTGCCTTTTTAGTGGAACAGGGTACAATGACGGTTTTAATGCAGGCTTAATGAAATCTTCATCATCACTGGAATCTTTGGAGGCACCATCACACAACAAATCGTCCTCTTCATCAACATATCGTCGAAGATCTTCAAATATATCTCCTTCAGGTAAGAGATACAGAGTTATTCGTGCATATCCAAATCCAGACTCTTCCTTATACCTCCTCAAAGTAAAGGGTTCCTCAGGACCTACGCCAGGGATGTGTTTAACTTCACTGCCGTCCTTGAAGGCCAGAATGTACTCAGATTGTGAATGAATAAACCTGCTGTTGAACAGAGTATGTTTCTTTACTGCAGCGAGGCGAATGTCTTCGGCAGATGCTGTTGATGGAACCTTCAAGGGCAAGGTTTCTCCTCGTTTGATCACACCCTTCTCCTTCATTACTCCCACGTTGATCGTTACCATTTCATCGTCGACTTTTCTCTTCTTGTGTCCGGCATGCGGTTTACGAGCAAAGAATGTCTTTCGCTCTGACTCTTTTTGAGACTTGAATGTATGAAAGTTGGGAAGAGAAAACGGTGTCGTAGTTGTTTCACAACGGCCACTAGGATATGTTCTTACTTTTACACCACATTTGGGACAAAACTTGAACTCGTTTTCTAAACAAAATCCGCATTTAGAGCAGAATGAACATGGACTCAGTGAAGCCATGTTTGATGCTTTGATGCGGTTTGTGAAAATGGCGCGAAAATGATGTATAAAAGGATTATGGGATCATTTAGGCCAAGGCTGCGTTACCCTTGTCCAGCGGACGCGGTAAATTTTTTTGTACCGGAACTTTTATTTTTGTACTGGGATTTATATTTCTGTACTGGGATACATATTGTTGTACTGTTGTATACATGAATTTTACTGTACCGAGGAATATAGTGGCACAACCGATGAATATGTTTGTTCTGGAACCTATGTTTTTGTACTGAGAGATTGATAATTTTTTTTGGACTGGAGCTGTTATTTGTGTACTAAGAATTGGAGATATCTTTCCGTACTGGAGTTTATATTTTTGTACTGAAATTAACATTTCTGTACTGGGATACATATTGTTGTACTGGTGTATATTTTATTGTACTGGTAAATATACTCGCACAACCAATGAATATGTTTGTGTACTAAGATATAGAATGAAGTAATATGATATATATTTGTGTATTGCCGTTGTGGGCCACCGTACAAATGTGTATACACATCCTCTTCCAATTTTGTAATGTTTGTAAAAAGATTTAAAAGCTCTATAAAACATTAAATGATTATTTAGAACAGGATTATTAGATTTAATAGATCCATCTTCTATTCAATAGATTATTTTTTCTATTTCTATAAATTCTTTTAGATATTTTTCATATAAGTATCTGTAAATTAGTGATGATTTTATAAGATTTTCAGGATAAGGAAAATGTTTGTAAAAAGGATAATAAAAGTCAACATAATTAACAATTGTGTTTATCATTTTATTATTGGTTATAATAATTTATTTAAAAACAAAAATATAATTATATAAATGATGACTATAGAAAAAACTGTCTTACGTGAAATAAGAAAATGGGTGATATTTAAAAGTAGTATATTTATTATAAATAATCATATACATAATTATTATGATAATATTTCTTCAGGACATTATGATGTTAAAAAAAAGTCTTTTATTAGATTGCATTATCTAAAAATGCTAAAACACTACATCTACCTTAAAATTTATCACTATAACATAAAAAAGATATCATCTAATGAGAACTATTATGTTATTTTGAATCAATATTAGAACCTAAAGGATTTGATTTAAAAATTAATATTTAAAGATAAAAATAATAATATAAATGACAAATATGTTGGAAAAAACTTTTAAAAATGAAGAGTTAAGAATTGAGTTAAAATCATTTATTGATTATAAACAAAATATTTGGTTTTTAGGAAAAGATGTTGCTAAGATCCTAGGTTTTAGTGATACTGATAAAGCTATAAGAAAACATGTTGATGAGGAGGATAAATATAAAGGTCCCGCCAAAACGGCGGGGGGTTTGCAACAATCATTTTTCATAAATGAATTGTTCATTTATCTTTGCCTGAATGCAGCGAAGCGTAATGAAACAAAAGATAAATGGTTTCTTGAATTCCCAAGCACAGGTGCATTTGTCGGCAGTGTGTTTTAAGTGCCGGCATGGGATTATGAGAAGAAAGTGTGATATGTCAAGTAGCAAGTATATATTCGCTGAACAGTAAACAAGTTTCATTGTGGATTTTTACAAGCGGACAGTTAAATTCTTAGCTCGTTCTTCCTATCTCGTCCATATGGCGCGGGGCCGTCGTGGTCGCCCTGCTTCAGTTCGTTCTCATGTTTCGAGAGTCAACGCGGACATTGAAGACCCTGTTGTCCGGCCGTCCAGGTCAAGAGAACATCGAAGTTCAGGCCGTCGTAGTTCTTGCTCACATGTTGCAGCTTCAAGCGGTTCTGGTCGTAGTGCTTCGCCTTCGCGAAGGAGTGTCCGCGAGCGTTCGCACCGTAGAAGTCGCTCGGCTTCTCGCAGCCCTGAGCCCCCAACGTGGGCGAAGGAAATCTTAAAGGCCTTGGAGACGAAAACGCAAGAGGTCAAGGTTGTCAAAGAACAGCTCGACTCATTAAAACGCAAGTCTGCGGAGGAGGAGCCCGAGTTCAAATATAAGAGTAACAAGAAACAGTTCAAGTTCAACACTGACGTCAAGGATAAGTTCAACCAGATTTTAGAGAGGGCTGGGGCGGATGACGCCATCACTAAGATTGCCAACGAAGGTATGTCACTCCTTGATAACAGAAATAAGCTTATTTCTATTGCTGACCGGGATGGCTGGAAAGTGGTAGAATATTTTGAGGCGGACCCACTCACTAAAAATGACGAAGAAGAAAAGAAACTTCGTGTCGCGCGCAAGGAAGCAGAGAGGTCTCGGGAGAAACGAAATCGAAAAAATAGTCTGAGAAGCAAAATGGGAACTCGTTTTAAGTCTCAGTCTACATCTTCCAAAAGCGGCCCCAGTGTTAATTTTGGCCCATCACATAGAATCGTGGATTTCCGCCCAGATGTCGGTCAGCTTTTGGTTAATCCTGTACCGGAGAAAAAAGCTTCTGTTTATCGCTGCTTTGGTTGCGGCAAAGCAGGCCATTTTATCAAGGATTGTAAAGTTTCCTCTTCCGCTAAATGACTAGCTGACTCTGATTTTGACGAATTTTCGGATCGCGGCGAGGCTGAACTTGACACGGGCGTTTCCTCAGTATTTTGGATTCGAGGCCGCTTGCGCAAGTTTTTGCATGTTTGGCGTTCTATTGGGGCCTCTTCTTTTGTTCTTAGTGTTATTGAAAGCGGTTATAAGTTACCATTTGTTTCAATTCCATTGAGGTATTTCTTTAGTAATCATAAAAGCGCTGTTGATAATAGAGCTTTTGTTTGTGAAGCTATCGAGCAATTGTTGTTGGCGGGTAGCGCGGTGGAAGTCAAGCGTGACCAAGTTCATGTTTGCAGTCCCTTAGATGTAGTTCCTAAAAAGAATGGCAAACTTCGATTGATTCTCGACCTTCGCTTTCTTAACAAGCACCTAGCCAAGCGTAAGTTTAAGTTCGAAGACCTTCGAGTCGTGGCGGAAATTCTTCAGCCAGGTGATTGGTTTTTTACTTTCGATCTTCGTAATGGCTACCATCATGTTGACATTTTTCAAGAGCATTGGAAGTATTTGGCTTTTTCGTTTACTTTCGATGGTAAGCCACACTATTTTTTGTTTTGTTCACTTCGTTTTGGTTTAAGTACGTCTCCTTACGTTTTCACCAAATTGTTAAGACCAGTTGTTTCACACTGGCGGTCACAAGGCATTAGGATTTCTGTCTATTTGGACGACGGTATCGGTACCGATTCAAGTAAAGATTCGTGTTCTCAGGAAGCGCAACTAGTGCGAGGCGATCTTGATCGCCTTGGCCTGCTAGTGAATGAGGAGAAGAGCAATTTTGAACCGCGCCAAAAAGGGGAGCACTTAGGCTTTATTTTGGACCTTACCAAAGGAGAATTTAGTATCCCACCAGGCAAGATTGATCACCTGTTTAATCTGATTTCACTGCTTCTTGACGATGTTTCACCCACGGCTAGGGATGTGTCTCGTATTACGGGTACCCTTATTTCCATGGAGCTCGCTTTAGGTCCAATTGTGCGTTTGCGCACCCGAGCCTTGTACGCAGTCCTTAATAGCGTTCATAGCCTTAGCTGCAAGGTGGCTTTAACGCGTGAAGCTGCAGAGGAACTTAATTTTTGGAGAGATAATTTCTTTCGTTTGTGCGGCAAACCAATCTGGAGGCCCTCCCCGAAGATAGAGCTTTTGTCTTATTCGGATGCCAGCAATGTGGGTTGGGCGGGATTTATTGTTCAATTTGGTACGCACATCGCTAGAGGGAACTGGTTGGGTTCCGAGGCCCTATGCAGCTCTTTTTTCCGCGAGATTCGTGCAATTAGATTTGTTCTTCAGTCGTTTTCCGGTCTTTTGGCGGGTAAGGAGTGTAAGCATAGATCTGACAATCAGAGCGTCTGCAGTATTTTGTCCGTCGGCAGTAGTAAGCCTCATTTGCAAAAAGAAGCGGTTGCCATTTACAATTTGTGCCATGAAGCCGGTATTCGCTTTTCTGCGGAGTGGATACCTCGCCACTTTAATTTCAATGCTGATTATTGGTCGAAAGTTGTCGACACCGATGATTGGATGCTCAACCCTGTCCATTTTCGCCAGTTGGATATTCTGTGGGGACCCCACACTGTAGATCGTTTTGCGAGTCATAATTCTTTCCAGTTGCCCAGGTTTTGTTCTCGATGGTGGTGTCCTGGGACCGAAACTGTTGATGCTTTTACCGTCAGCTGGGGAGGGGAAAACAATTGGTTGGTCCCCCCAGTGTTCCTTATTCCCAGGGTTATCAATCACATGAAACTGGGTAGAGAGCAGGGCACTCTCATTATCCCCTTTTGGCAATCTGCTCATTGGTGGCCGTTGGTGTCTCGAAGCCCGGGGTTTTCCACCCTTTTGTTCTTGACTGGCGGGAGATTCCTTTACATGAATCTACTTTTCTCCCTGGTTCCGCAGCCGCGGATCTTTTCGGCATGGTATTCCCTCGTGTAGGGTATTTGCTTTGAGAATTGTGTTTCCTTAGTTTTGCTGTAGAACGTTTTTCGGGTATTTAGATGAGTACCTTGAACGAGTTGTTCATCCTAATTATTTGTTTTTGTTCTATCTGAGCCTTTTTGGCCTAGGTGTGGGCCCTTGCTCTTTGCAAGTCAGTGGACTTGGAACTGTACTAGTACGCACGAGTTGTGCAGCTGAAGCAAGCCGAGAGGGCACTGCCGACACAGTAGTGTGTTCGTTTTTAGAGTCAAGTGGACTCCTCTATCCTTTGTGTGGATTTGCTTACCAGTTGACGCCGAGTGGGCCAAGCCTCCTTGTGCTGGAGTGTGTACTGGTGCTGTGTTAACTTGCCATGTGGGCAGTTCTCGTTGCAGACGATTTGTATCTTGCGCGTTTAGTGCTCTGTAGCAATTGGATGTTGTTCCTGTCTTTAAAGTGCCATGTTTTGGACATTGTTGATTTTCACTTTAGGCTTGTCGCCTTACCAACGGAGCAACGCGGAGATTCAGAGGCTTGTAGAACTGTTAAAGACTGTCATACTTAATGACTGTGCCGCTTCAACCGTGTCTTCGTATGCAGGGGCAGCCAATCGATGGATTGACTGGTGCAAGTGTTACTCGTTTCCTCCTTTACAGTCTAACCCAACCGCAGTTGCTCTCTACTTAACAAGTCTTTCCGACCGAGGCTTATCTCGCTCGTCAATCCTTGGAGCAGCTTATGGCATTGCATGGCTACATAAGAAACTTGGATGTCCTAATCCTGTCGACGATCCGCTCGTTTCTCAGACCTTGGCTGGCTTTAAACGCCTCCTGGCTGGTCCATCTAGGAAAAAGCAGCCTATTGAATCTCATCACGTCAGGGCGCTGATTCGTTCCTATGGTCACCCTCGTGCTTCTCTACCGAACCTACAAATGGTGTCGCTGGTTGCGCTTGGTTTTTGTGCTTTCCTACGTTGGTCAGAGCTGCGTGACTTACGTGCCTGTGACTTAAGGTTTTGCGCCACCCACATGTCTATTTTCCTAGATAGGCGTAAGAACGATCAATTCCGTCAGGGATCTGTGGTTAAAGTTGCTCGTTTACCTTCCAGCTCTTGTCCAGTGAAACTGTTAGAGTTATTCCTTGAGCGCGGAGAGCATCAACCATCTCAGTCATTATTTTGTCTCTGCCAGAAATTGGGTGCCGGGTACAAGCTGCGACAAGCTGCTCTGTCATATTCTCGGGCACGGGAACAGTTTCGTCAAATGATTTCCGAACTTGGTTTAGACTCGAACGAATTTGGTTTACATAGCCTTCGTTCAGGTGGTGCTTCCCAAGCAGCACACAGCGGAGTTTCTGGGAGAGTATGGCGTAGACATGGTGGTTGGCGCAGTATCCAAGCCGCAGATGGTTATGTCAATGAATCTTTGGAAAATACCCTTGTGGTATCTAGAAATTTGGCTCTTTAATTTTCAGTTTGTGATTTGCTTGATAAACATTGCGCGAGTTGTGTTGTATGCAGCAGTATGTAGAGATTTACGTTTGCCCAATTAATTCTGATGGCTTAACGTTGCTTGACGACATAGTATCCTTGCCGCAGGTGGATATGCTTGAGGATTTTTGGACAGTACCCTTATGGTATACAAGCGATTAGCTATTTATTATACAGTAAATACGTTTGCTTAATGAACATTGCCTTTTTTTTTTTTTTTTTTTTTTTTTTGTATCCTTATATGCTTTTGCTGCTGATTGTGAATTGTCTGCTTATCCCGCACCGCATTTCTGGTTGTCAGTTTTTTGGGTGCGGGGAAGTCAAGAATTGTTCATTTATCTTTGCCTGAATGCAGCGAAGCGTAATGAAACAAAAGATAAATGGTTTCTTGAATTCCCAAGCACAGGTGCATTTGTCGGCAGTGTGTTTTAAGTGCCGGCATGGGATTATGAGAAGAAAGTGTGATATGTAAAGTAGCAAGTATATATTCGCTGAACAGTAAACAAGTTTCATTGTGGATTTTTACAAGCGGACAGTTAAATTTTGTTCTTTTGTATATTTCGATTGAAATCCTGTAATCCATTTCCTCGTAACGATTTTAGTTGTGTTTTCCTGATGATTGACAGTTATTATAAGTGGTTTTGTTTTTTCATTTACTTTGGCCAGATCAAACGTATACAGTTTGTTTGATTTTTTGGTGTCTAAATAGTGTAAACAGTTGTTTTTGTTTTGTGATTAGTTGGTTAGTTCAATAAATGGGCTAAGAATTGTCTGCTTATCCCGCACCGCATTTCTGGTTGTCAGTTTTTTTGGGTGCGGGGAAGTCAAGAATCAGGTTTCTACTCCCTTTTATTATCCTCTAAATTGGAATCTGCAAAAAAGTTTAAACACTGGGTTACAAATACTTCCATCAATAAGAAAATATGGCTATTACAAACGTTTTGACAATCCGAGTAACAAAATGTTTAAGATTGAAAATGAAATGGATTTACACTGTAAAGTTGTTGAACTAATTAGAAATTTTTACCCAAATGCTTTATTGGTACCAGGACTTGGGGAAAACCAAGATACACCAGAAAAAAGAAGTAACAGTTGGAAAAAAGGCTATATGCGAGGTCAACCAGATCTAATGACCAACCAACTAACTAACAATTACTGCGTATCAGAATCACAACTAAAAATGAAAGAAAAGTACTGTGATAATGAATATGCTTTTATACTAAGTAATGATTATGATAAGATCGGCAAACTTATTCATAAATATATGGTTGGCGTGCGTATTCCTTGTGAATATTGCACAAAAGCATTTCGTAATAAAAAAACTCTAAATAATCACTATAAGGTCTTTCATCGGATCGAGAAAAACATCTAATTTTGATATTAGTAATAATATCAAAATGTTAGAAAAATCTTTAAACCATTTTTCTATAAAATACATTATCTTCTAAAGTACGCTTGATACGACTATAGGTATTCATATCAATTAAATACTTTTTACATTTATCAACCAACTTTGGATCAAAATCTAAACTTTTTAGTTTGGCAATAAACATACAATAAGTGTTAGCTTTTTCTATCATCAATTCATCATTATTACAAATTATAGAATCAACTTCTTTACAAATTTCTTTTCCTTCTTTAGATACAATTGTTTCATAAGAAGTAATAAATTGATCTTCTAGCTTTTCCATTTTATTCTTTAATTATATTAAATTTTTCATTATACCTACTTTCAAATTTATCTGATATAGGAGTTTGATCAATTATTAATTCATCTATCAACTTCATACGATCAACAAACTCTTGTTTGTTGCAATCATCTCCCCTAAGAGCTGCTCGGAGTTCAACAAGTACTTTTTCGTAAGTAGTAAATGCAATCCTTGTCATCTCAATTTTTCTTTTGTAATTATTTTTCTTTCCTACTCCAGCCACAATAACTCCAGCACCATTTACAACTCCAAGAACAACGGGGTTTAGGGTTATTCCACCAGAAATAGTTCCTATTGCAACCAAGCATATTCCAGAGATTGTAAAAAAATTATCAAGAAATTTATAACGCTTATAAGACCGCTTAAAACACCAGTATTTTTTGTGGTAATGGCTATAAAAGTCTTTGAGGGTTTTAATTTCTGATTCTGACAAAGATTTATCAATATGATTAAATTCAAAGATATCCTTCATTTTATTCTTTTGTGTATATTATGTTGTGAGGGAGGGGGTCATAGGGGGAACCGTAGGTTCCCCTATTATAATATATAAGATTCATTTAACTTTTCTTGAAGTATTACCTTGTGATATTCTATAGAGTCTGTATCGTAAAAGTTTGGGGAGTACATAAATTTTTCTATTACTCCATCTTGATTTAAAAATTCGAATTTTTGGTTACTTGAATGACTAACAACATTAGCAATTATTTCTGCGGAGTAGTTACTTATTTTAACTTTTGTAACATGATTATTAATACTTTCTGTTAACCATAAAACAACCTTTTTTCCATTAAAACTACCTGGAATTGATATATTTTTTCTTGTATTAGCAATATGTAAATTTAATGTATTATTTACATTAAGATAGTATAAAAATAATAAAGTTTGATTGCTAATTGAATCTTTTTTAGTTATACTAAAATTTCTATTTCTCCAAAGAGTAAAAACAATACATAAAGTATAGCTTGTAATGCACCAGTCAATTGAAACCCCCACCCCCCAGGTCCCGGGGAAGGGTGGGGGAAAATAGGGGCATCGAATCACTTTTGAACAACAAGCTGTCCCCTGGGGGTGGTGCATTTGACTGTTTTCGACCGCGGTTCCCGTCCCCACCTCGGGCAAGAGTGGAACTGGGCACTAGTACTTCACATGGAACTTCCAAGATGGCGGAAGGCGAAAGAAAGGTACGTAACAGTGGTTTGAATCCACGCATATCATGCTTTTACTTTACCATCCACTGCAATTGATATTCAATCTGAATCAAGTAATTTGTTTTCTATTGTTTGGATGTATTATTTACATTTAATTTCCATTGAAATTCAAATGGTATGCATGGGTAATGATGCGGAAAGGTCAGGTCATGAGCTGTTCTCTTCTTTGATTTCCTACAGGTTTTATTTCAATACGAAGAAAGCCGTAAGGTTCTTGACCTTCATCAAAATGAAGATGTTGCTGTAAAAGTTAAAGAGTGTTTTAGCCTGGACAGTGAAGCACGGATAATTTTCCAAAAGTATGAAGAAGACTGGGGGAGTGGGTCGATGTTACCGTTCAAAACATTGAACACAAGGATAAAATCCAAGTGCATGTTTTGCAGTCGAAGCCACCTCCAAATGTTTCACAACCTACATCCGTCGATCAGGTATGTCTGCACTGATTTATGTTTATAATACTTTAGTTTTTGAAAAAGTTTTTGGAACTGATCTGTTTGCAAACCCTAATTGTTTTTGCTTTTTTTTTTTTGCACAGCCCAAAGATTCCCTGCACACAACAAGAAATGAGAAGGGAAGTGTTAAAGGTAAACAAACTTGTCATTTGTTTGATTATTATTCTTGCCAAATAATAGTAGGATAAAACAAAAATCTGAAAAAATGTGGTCTATATTTCACATGTGATAGCAAATTGTGCATCACATTTACTTTAAGGTGCAGATACCTTATAAATGAAGTACTATAATTGACTAAGAATATATATTACAATGACCAAATATTTTAATACTTGTCTACTAAAAAGCTGTTCTTCTGACAGTATGTCTTGAATATTTACTTTAATTTTAAATAAGAAAAATGAAGTTGAATCTTTTGATACTCAATTATAGTGTTCATATTGTGAATTTTGTGAATAAATTTCAAGGCTTCTGCCTTAGAAAAATTTAAAAAGGAGCCCACAAGGCCAAAAAACTGAGAAGTTATGAGCCCAGCCTGAGAAAAGTTAAATGTTAGGAAAAACATTTACTGGGCACCAAAAACAGTACCTTGGGTGTCCCAGACTACCGGAAACCTGCTAGGCAACAGCCTTGCATCCTAAATACAATATATAATAATTATTTTTCACCCTCAGGGAACTGTTCTGGTAGTGGTTCAAAACAGACAACCTTATTGATGAAAGATGGAGCAGTTTCAATTGGGCCTGCTTTAGAGGTAGGAACTATGCAATTAAAATTTGGTTTTCCAACAAAAATATTCATATCTCCTCCGTGGGTGGTAATGGAAATTTCCAAGAAGCAGGGGTGGGGGCCCAGAGGACCACTAGAAGTACAAAGAATGTATACACTCATCTGGTACCATTTGCAGAAACAAAACATTTCCTGAACTGGAAATTGAGTTTTTAGCCAGAAATTAAAATATTAAAATGTATAACATATTAGAATTTTAGAATTTTGTTCTAATTTGTTAAAGTGGTACTATGATCAAAAATATACATTTTCTGTTCTTTTCATATTTTGAAAATATAAGTACTTGTTTCTTACCTTGCAAAGTTTCAAGTCAAAACTCGTACGGGAAGTGCCATTATTTTAACTTTACATTTCGAATTCGGCTTGCCGCCATTACTCAATTAAAAATGACCGGGACCGAACCCTGAGAGTTGGATCGAGTTTTCCTAAAGATTTTGTGACGTCAAAGACTCAACACGTCACTCAACACGTGCCGTTTGGCTTTGTTGTCTGTGTCCCGGAGGGAATAATAATCATGACGTGTTGAGTCATTTACGTCACAAATCAAGTCAAGTGTACCAGATCGCAAACCAGTAGAACGTGGGCTCGGATTTATGAACGGAGTAATGGCGGACGGATTTTACGTGATTTTCGTGGGTTTTCAGTCAGCTATTTCTGGGCTGTGTAAGAATATATCAATCTAATTTATAGCAATTCGCATTTGTCTAAACCTATTAAATACATTTGCACTAAAAAAGCGAAAAAGAAATACAAAAATTTTCATCGTAGTGGCACTTTAAATTAGTATTCATACATGACACTTCAATTATCTGGACCTTATTTTCAGTTCTAGTCTGGGTCGTAGATTTTTGACTGCATTTAGTAGTTGTTGCTACATTGACATGTGTGCTGTAACAACCTATTCTCCCAGCTTTTTGTGAGAACCTATTAGTTGACTATTTTATTTTCAAATTGCTAGAATATTGTTGGTTTGTGCTTTTAAAATTAAATTTTATTAATGAAATTCAGTTTAACCCTTTCACTCCTGAGTTTTTCTACCCCTTTTTCCAAACTCGTAAATAAAACCTAAATGGCAATGTATGATATACCATTTGAAAGGTCTTGACCAGTGCAGTCCTTATTTCATATCAAAATTGGAGAAGTAAATCATGGCTTTGACATAAACGGGCTGAAAATGTCAAAGTCAAAAAGTTCAGAAATGCCTCAATTTTCAGACATACTAGGTATACCCCCAAACTATAGCTTATTTTGCAGCTCTCAGTTAATAGAGTAACATGAGTTATGTCTCACACTGCAAATGTGTAAAAAAAATTGTCAAAAGTTCCAGGGGTGGTCATAGATACTAGAGGGGTACAATTTTATTCTGAAATGAACTGATCTTTCCAAGACCATTTTGTGGCAAAATTTCATTGAAATAGACCAAATATTAACAATTTTATGAACTTTTTACGTCAGCTGACGTAAACAGGTGTTAAAGGGTTAAGTTGCTCTTTAAAATGCAGTGACATCCAGTCACCCATGAAACTGAAATCTGAAAGAAATAATTATAAACAAAATCTTTTCTAGTGTGAATAAGACCACAGACAATATATTTATGTTACTTGGCTTCCATTATTGTTCTCTAGAATGAGCCTTCTTTAGCAGACTCTAACAAAGTGACCGTCGAGTTGAATGTTGAAGATATCAGGAAGAGAAGTGTGCTGTATGCCAAAAGCTCAAGAACATACCATCAACGAATGAATGCGAATGCCTTTGAATTGTGCATTGAAAATCCCACTCTGTTAGATGACAAACAGAACCTTATAGAACTTTGTCGTAAAAAACTTGATAATGACGGCTACAATTACAGCAAGAAAAGATCAAGATCAAAATTGTTTGGAACAGGATCAATGGAGCATGGTAGCAGTAGCAAGAAAGTGCAAATGTCTGAGCACTTACGTACTAAGAAGGTTGAAGAACTCACAGATGATATAGCTAGCCTCGCGGATAGAATACGACTTTTGCAACAACAGAGAGCAAGAGATGAGCAACTTAAACAGTACATGCGAGCCTCTGCAGTAGAAGAGGAGATCACCAAGCTGCGAAAAGAAAAAAGAAAGCATGAAGAAGAGGTGTTGCTTATCCAGAAAAAACAGGCAAAAGCCAAATGGTACAAAGATAAGCAGTCAACCAGTTCCTCGTCTTCTGACGGGTCATCGTCTTCGAGTAGTTCAACTAAGACATTGACATCTTTCTGGGGAAAGTCAGTTACACCAGCAGAACCATTGAGTAAGGAAGCAGGTACAGCCAGAGGAAATTCAACTAAAGCTACCTGTACTAATCAGGAGGAAACACAGTCGTCAAGGGTTTCTGATGAAGTCGCCAAGCATTCTGGAGATAAACCTGGAGAGAATGATACACCAGAAAATGAGTCACAAGGAGACAACAATAATGGCACAAGGAGTGCTGATAGTGGGAGCAAGGCTCATTTTTGTAGATAAAGACGCTCCTAGGAGTGACATTTATACACGATATGTGTCACATCTTTCTTCTTGTTTATCGGATGTGTCTAAATACAAAGTTGACGATGGTTTATATGTTGCGTTAATTAATGATATGACACTTGAAGAAGTTGCTGTTGCAAGGAGAGAATTTTGCTCTAGGAAACATTGTTCAGAATTACAAGTTTGTTCACAGTGCGAGGGACTGATTTCGTTTGCCCACGATGTCATAAATAATGGAATTGTTGAACTGAAGGCATTTTTTATCAAACACTTTCCAAAGGTCAAGTATATAAGTTCAAAGGCGGTAAGGCTGCTAATGCAGCTGCCACTTATTGTCATGGAAATTGCACCTGAAGGCCCAGGATCAAAAAGACTGTATGCTACAGAATTCCAACCTGGAGTTGATGCACAAAGATTTGTGGTCATAATGAGACAGTTCTTGCATTCGAAGAAAGCAAATGTCAGAGAAAAGCTTCCATCTAGACAAAAAATAAACGCCTTATGTGAACTAGCAACCACTGAAACAGATCGTCTGCTACTAAAAATGATTGCTTGTTCTGAGCTTAGCGCTAAAGAAGCTCGGAAGCGATATGGAGTTCAAAATCTCGGCGAAAAACAAAGGAAAATCGAAGAGACCCTTAGAAGGGCAAGTGAAATCAAACAAACAGTGGCAGAGCTTGCACGAGTCAAGGAAAAGGCACTTTTGCGCACCATTGGCTTTGACTACGAATCCAGTGATTCAGAGGATGAAAGTACTGACCTTGGCGAAGTTCAAGATGTTCAATGGATTTCGTCAGAAGATGCAACAGAAGATGAAGAAGAGTTTCCATTAAGTGATCAGCTGCATTCCAATAAAGGACAACATGATACAGACAGCTCAGACCATGGGAGTTCTTTTGTTAAGGTTGCACAAGAAAATGCAGTATCAAAGGAAAAAGGAACATCAGACAGGGGTATGTTTGATCCAGATGACACGGACATACTGAAAAATCCAACTGTAAATCCAGCACCTTCAAGAGAAACACTGTTGTTAATACTAAGAGAAAACAATCTTAACTGGTTTACATTTGTGGCTGAGCTAAAAAACATGTTACCAACAGATAACCCTGAAGTTTTAAATCAAATACTTGTTGACTTTGCTGATTTCATCCCCTATAGTGATCTTTCAACAGCAGAAGAGCAATTGATCGAAATTAGTAGACAGGCATATTTAGAGATTCAGCGGAAACAATCTCTAGGCAACACCATATTTGAGACTGACAGTGAATCTGATGATGGAGACTGGTGTGAAATCAATGATATTTGTTCTGATGAAGCAAAAGAAAAAGTGCAACAAGAAAGAAAAAAAATCAAGATGGCTGCTAAAAGGGAAACTTCAAAGCTTATAGCTAAAAGAAGCCCTTCTTAAACGCAAGATTCCAAAGAAAGTGTCTACCATTGTGACAAAGTACCCTGATATAGGAAAAAAAAAAATGGAAGACTTTGTTCAGAAACACCGGGTTGGTGCAGACCAGTGGCGAAGAACTGGAGTTTTTACTTTCGCGAGTAATAAGAATTCTACAGGGCCTAAAGTAACTTACAAAAAGGATGCAAGAGCATCTACAAAAGGAGTATGGCATATCGATATCGTATGGTACCGTTGTTCAGTTGTGTGCCGTGAGGAACAAGAGAAGGATTTCGGCTCAGCGTTACCAGGGTGTTGCAGCAATAACTTGCAGAAGAGCACGTAAAGGTTTTGATGTCAAATTCAATCCCGATAGCCGTTGGTCATACTGCTTTTACAAGGGCCTTGATATGCTTCAGCTAAAAGACGGTTCAGATAAAATGATTCTCAATAGAGACGACCAAGCAGGATTCCGTCTGGATAGTACTTACACACATAAGAACCATAAAGCTGTCTGCTTGGAAGGAAAGCCAGAACTCACGTCACATTCTGACTATGTAAGCAAACACGGAGGTCAACTTCAAACATCATCTTACTTATTCATGAAGACGGAAACCACTGGTCAAGTGTCTGTTGGGATTGTCAAAGCACCTGGCGTTCTACACGAGAAAACAGCAACACAGCATCTTGCTGACTTGTACTGTTTGAAAGAAAAAGCAGAAATGGATGTGTGTTTTGAAGGAAAGAACATTGATTGTATTAGAGTTGATGGGGAGCCGATGAGGGCCCAAGTCATGTTGAGGTACAGTTTCGATGGACCGAATGGCATCTAAAAGAAGGAAGGGAATTGACACTGGTCACAACAAGGAACAGTGGTGCGAGCTGTTACAATCTTGTAGAGCTGCAGAATGGTGTTGTTGGCCGAGCGCATGCTAATCTCTTTATACCGTCGACATTGTGTGGATCTGCCGAAACTGAAACGGGAGGAGTATCTCAGGATAGATTACACGAAAACATGGAAGCAGCACTGCAGGTGTATTTGGATAGAGTCAATGACATACCATTTGGTTCATCTGTAATAAAAATGTACAGAGGTGCCACAGATAAGCATGCAACAGAGCTGAAAGATCAGAGACAGAATTTACTTGTGTATTTGAGGGGAACCAAAGCAGCTAAGGCCGAACTCAAGAAGAAGGAGCCAAATCAATATCATTACTTTGAACAGGTTTGGAACTTACGGAACCAGCACATGGTACCAAACCTTCCAAGTGGGTATGTGTTTGCTCTCAAAGCCTGTTACAAGGAGGGTTGCATCCATCCAGTTTGCAAGAACGGAAAACCAGCCAATGATTCATTATGGTTCCCAGGAGGGCCAAGTATTCAGTACCTGCCATTTCCAGTACCAGACCCTAAACGACCTTGGGGAGCCAAGGAATGTGACAAGTGCAGTGGTATTTGTAGTGGACACTACAAGGGACCAGAAGAGGTGCTAGCAGTGGATAACTGCAATTTGAGCAAAGCCTCCATTTCTCCTCCAAGTACTGTGATAAAAGATGCCTTTGACAAAAAACAAAAGGAATGTCTGGAACTGACGTCCGATGAGATAGAGAAACTAGCAAAGCAAACCTTACTCCCGTACCGATGAAGTTGAGATGTGGGTAAGACACCTAAGTGATGTGAGGAAACATCGCCAAGCAGGTGCCCAGAAAGCTTCTGCAAAAAAAAGAAAAGAGAACTCTCAAGAAGAAGTCTAGTAAAGCAGCTGTTGACACCCCTGACTCGTGGTGTATTTGTGGAGGGCCAGAGTGTGGAGACATGATTGCCTGTGAACATAAAGACTGTCCCATAGAGTGGTTCCATTTTCAGTGTGTGGGGCTTTCAACAGCACCAAGTGGAGAGTGGATTTGCGCACAGTGCAAGGTTGCAGCCATGGAGAATTCACCTCAGTAGACAGTTTAAGGTATTAAATTTCTAAAAAACTGAACTTGAGCCAAATAAACGGAGTTTGTGTGATAATATATACAGTGTATTTCAAATTTCACTAATTTGCAGTCTATTAAATACATGTAATGAGATGGTCATGACCAATAATGAAATACAGCATGCTTTTCCTTCGTTTAATAGTTGAACAAACTGTATGAGAGTGTGATTAGCATTTTAATCAAAGCTGCACAAACCTGGAAGAAGAACATTATTAAATTTTCCCATGTAAATGTAGGTCTTGCACGTTCTTTTCTTAGAACTTTTGATAGTATCAGCTTTCTTGCCCCAGGGGTAGTGGCGTTTGATCTGAACTCCAGCCTCAGGGGGTAGGGATATTGATGCCTTTTGACCAGAGCCTATGTCAAATCCCCCACCCTTTCCCGGGACCCGGGGGGTGGGGGTTTCAATTGACTGGTGCATAAGTTTACTAGCAGAAGAATAAGAAATAGTATAACCATTAACATTTAATCCACCATCTTTTACGTTATCAATTGTTTTAGTTGGAAAGGTAATATTTCTTGCAGAATTTCCTGTAATAGAAGATAAGGAATTAAAAACAACCCCAGATGAAGATTTATTTAAAACGTAAATGTTTGAATCATTAAAATCAAAAAAATCTTCAAAATATTTTCTGTAATTATAATTTTTTGTAAAAGGATGAATTTCATTTACCATTCCAACTGTTGCTGCACTATTGTTACTGGTTCTATCAAGATTAATGTTTAATATTTTTTTATTATTTGCATTAATATCAACGTTGTACACAACTTCTGTTGGTTTGATATCAAATGCTGTGTGATAGTCATAAACTTTATCTGGATCGATATTGCTAAATGTTCCCACAATTCCATAAGTAATTATATAAACGCCTAGAAACTGTCTCGGATAAATAGCTAGGTCAGTTCCCTCTTGTGGTATATTAACCAGAATATGAAGAAAGAACTTATTACCAGATGACAACTTTCGAAAATTAACTATTATCCTATGATAGTACATAAACTCCACTTTATTTGCTGAGGTTGTGTATCTATGTGAGAGTTTCCTTATACCAACATTTCCAATTGATAATCCTGTTGAAGTTCCTTTATCCACAGTTATTTTAGACTTATGCCACAGCTGATAATCAGTGTTAAGTAATTCCAGGCAAAGGGTATAGTCGACATTTGCAGTTAACCTGTAAAAGTTGATTCCCATTTTGTATTTGTATCCACCTTGGGAATTTTTGTATATAGTCGTATAAAGAACTTTGTGATTGTAGTCATGAAAGTTTCCTTTACTAGGTGGTAAGTCATCTATCTTTGTTATATTAAAGGAGTCTCCTCCATCGATTTCATCTGTCCATTGATTCGAACTTGACATAAGATAACTAAACTGGTCGTTGTAATGGCTTGGTTGAACTAGTTTGTCAGTATAATCTTTTGTTGCCGCTTCATTGTTTTGGGTTGGCTTACTAAGATTTATTATTTTATTCTTGTTAAGATTTAAGTTTCCAGTCATAGCGACAGTACCATCTTTTTCCAAATAATCACTTAAATCTGGACTTCCAGCATTATCATCCACATATTTCTTTGTTGCGGCGTCTGTGTCTGATGTTGGTGGTTTTAAATGAATTATACCTTTATTATCCATGTCTAGATTATTAGTCATTTTATTTGTTCCAGCAACGTGTAGATACTTAAAATCTGTGAAAGCTAATGGTGTTGGTTGTTTTCCACCTGTTGGAGTTGGAAGATTATAGATTCTATTATTATTCATATCAATATTTCCAGTCATTTTTTGCGATCCAACTGTATCATCAACATATTTTTTGTTTGATGCGTCATTTTGATTTGTTGGAGCATTAACATTTACTATTTTTTTACTATTCATATTAAGATTACCTATCATTGAACTACTTCCACTTACTTGAAGAAATTTAGCGTCTACATAAAATTTTACAGCTGAATCATTATTATCCTGAGGAGGATAAAGATTATACATTCTTTTATGATTCATGTCAATATTTGAATCAACTGTTAGTTTTGATGATAATAATGATCCACTGGAATTGTCATCAACATATTTCTTTGTAGCAGCATCATTATTACAATTAGGTGCACCTACATTTCTTAGTTTTTTATTTACCATATCATAATCACCATCTGAAGTAAGATTAAATCCCACTCCTGGTGCGCCTTGAATTCCTTTAGCAAATGTATTATTTGAATGTTAGTTAAATATCCCCATTTTATTTATTAGTTTATATTACCAGTAAAGTTTCTTGCAATACGTTTTCTGGGATTGTCAACATATAAAAATGAATAAGGTTTTTTAGTTGCTAATTTATATAACTCTTTGTCAACACCCAAATCTCTTGATATCATATTGGTATTATTTGATGATGGAAAATGATACAAACAGTAATGAGAACAATTTATACGAATATCTATTGGTGTTTTATAAAAAGACTGACTTAAATAAATCACTGAACAATTTTTTTGTCTTCCTTGCGCAAGATAATCAATAATTTTTTTTTGGTTTTTATCACAAACGTAATCATGAAATATCACCATTTTTTGATTGTCTTCATAATCCATTTCTGTCACTGGAGTTATTTCATCATTACTAACATGAAGTATTTCATATCCAACTTTAGAACTAAGTTCACTCATTTTTTGAATTAGCTTTTTATATTTATCCTGATGTAAATTACGCGCATAAAGATATATTTCATCAAAGTAAAGCAGTGGTTTAATTAACATGTGATATAATAGATTAGTCTTACCACTTCCAGTTTTTCCACAGATTAACATTTGAAATGTTTCTCTTGGCATATAAAAAAATAACTGTTTAAAATTTTTATCTGGATTTTCACCACTATCATAGTTTGGTATTTCCATTTATCTATTTATTATATAAAATGGATATTGAAGAAGCCAAAAAATTTGCAAGAAATAAAATTGAAACTGATTCTTTGACTCAACAGGTTAGAGATGTAATAAAAATAACAAAATGGCAAAAACAAGATATGCGGGAAGGTTTTAAAGAGACATTTAAACCACTTATTAAATCTCAAGATAGCATTAAAAAAAGTATTGATGAGCAGCAAAACGCAACTATAGCTCAACTTAAAAAAAATCAACTTGCATTAACATCAGGATTGGAAAAAATTAATGAAACTAATTTAAGATTGGCTGAAATGAGAGAATTACCAGCTTTGGAAGGTGATTATGATGAACCTACAACATCTAAACCAAGATCACCTACACGTTATAACATTGAAAAAAATCTTGACAATGTTGATTTAGAAATATTAAGAATTATGGAATATCCAAGGCCAAATGATTTTTTTGATACTAACACTGAAAGACTTGGAGAAATACTTGATGAAGTAAAAAATGATGTAAAAGTTTTTACAGGTCAAATAGCTGGATTGAAGAGAAAAAAACATAAAACAGAAGAAGACAAACAAGAAATAGAAAGGATTAAAATGCAAAAAGATTTACTACATAAATACAAAAACATTCTTAAAATTTATTTAGGTTCGCTTGCGTATCAAATGGGAGAAGGAATGATTTACTCTAACAACCCACATCAACTTCTAGACAGACTTGAATTACTCGGTGGTTCAATTCTTGCTGGGAATAATGGTGTAATACCTGAGTTTTCTCAAATAGCACATCTTCTCAACCAAATGAAAGTAATCTCAAAAAAACAACTAAATGATTTACTAAAAAGTTATATAACAATTAAATAAAATGGAAGAACGAGCTATCCACATTTCCTCAATAAATAGGGAAAAAAGAGGAAAAAGCAGACCTGGTGATTTTACTATTAAGTTTAATCCATCTCTAAAACTTGACCCTGAAATGAAACACCAACTTGCTCTTGATCGGTTGTCAATGACTTATTCTTGGTACAACATTAGAAGTGATTATGAAAACAATAAAATCAAATACACTCACGATGGAACCAACTGGCAAACAATTACTTTTACAGATGGAATGTATTCCTACTCAGATATTAATGATTATATTCATCAATATATGACTCAAAAGTCTCACCACTCAACAGATTCAAGTGGAAATAAAACTTATTCAATCAATCTAACTTTTATACTATCAACCTATCGAGTTCTCATATCACTTGATGGAGATTATCAACTTGATCTGAGAGGAACAGAATTTGGAAACCTGATTGGATTTGAAAAGAAACTTATTACAAAAACAGAGTATGGAACAAAACTACCAAATATAACAAATTCGATTGATGTGTTAAATATCAACACAACCGCAATAACTGATAGCATTGTAAATGGAATAAACACTAATACCATTGCTGTGATACCAACTGATAATCTTACAAGGTCTTTTCCATTTACGTTTGAACCTAAAAGACCATTGTTTTGTCCTGTATCATCATTTCACATTGATGAAATGAGAATCTATGTGACAGACTCACTTGGAAGACCAGTAAATTTTAATGGTATTGATTGGTTTATGACTTGAATACTTCACTCGATGTAATATAACTATTAAAATAAAAATGAGGCGACAATCAGAGTTTAAAAAGAGATTTGACCCTGAATTGGGGCGATATACAAGACAACATATTTATGGTGAAGGAATAACAGATGTGTTTAAATCTGTTGGTTCAAAATTATTTGGAAAAACAATGAAAAAAGCTGCTAAAAAAGGTGTTGAAAAAGCAGTGACAGCAGCTGCAACAAAAACTGGTGAACATGTTGGTAAGAAGGCTGGTGATAAGATAGTGAAAATGTTATCAAACAGGGGGGAGCAACCCCCCCGAAACCCCCCTGCTAAAAAAGTAACTTTTAATAAAAATGCTAAAATAATTCCAAACAAAAAAATATCTCAACAAGAAATAAACCAAAGAGTGAATGCTATTCTGAGTGGTGGAAAAATTATATAATTATCAAAATAAAATGAAGTCATTTAGAAATCCAGAATATTTAGAAAGATATGAAG